AAAATTAACAACGTGCAGAGATGTTATAACAAATATAGAATAAAACAGGTTGGGCATGAAATAAAGTTAAGAGAAGAAAAAATAAGTAAAATGATTGCAGTAAAAAAGCAGGTTGTGGCAACTAATTAAGCGCCGCACGCGATTTACTGTATTGCTGATATGAGAAAAAATGGTTTTTCACTTAAAAAATCACGAGAAATTATTTTGCGACTAAAAAAATTACATCACTAGTACACTAAAATTATTAACTTTTACCACTCATCGAATTTTTAACTGCGGGAGCGTCACAGTTTCGTGGCGTTTCGGTTTGCTTCCTTGGACGTGCCCATCTGTATATTATATTACTCTACTCTATGCCCATAGGCCCATATCCACCATAGGCCCATGCTCGCAGAGTGGATAAAACTTTGGCATAGGGATAAGACAATTTTATCTCTCGTCTGTGGATATAATCGGGGGATAAAATTTTTGTCTCCTGCCCGTGCTAGCACGGCAGCATGGAAAGAGATATCAAAACTACATGGTAAATAAAAACTGCGATTTCCAACGCAATTACCAAGCGTGGCAAATATTTCTATTTTTTTTTTATTATTCTAAGCCACCGCTTAACTACAATCCCACCTGATGGTAAGTGGTGATGTAGTCTAAGATTGTGAAGCGCACTGACTTAACAAAAACCTATTTACTCTTGCCTTGAAGACACTCACATTCTAATCGAATGGAAAGACAGATGCTGGCAAATTATTCCACTCCTTTGTTGTACGCATGATGAATGACGTAGTAAACCGTTTGGTTCGAATGCGTGGTAAGTCAACAACGAAAGGGCGAAGACTGGCCGAACGTCTTACTTATGCAGTCCCTGTGCACACTCTCTGAAATGCATCCTATAGAAAACCGAAAGGCTGGCTACTTTGCGCCTGTGTTCGAGGCTGGTAAGATTGGTTTTAACCAAATTTTAGTCACCAATAAGCCTCTTAGCACACCTTTTCATTATGTCCAAAGCTGCTAGGTGACATTTTGCAGCACCAGCCCATATATGGTAGCAATACTCCATGCACGACCGGATTTACGCTTTATATAAAGTGCAAGCAAGCAGCTTCCCGGTGTGAAATGTCGCCGCTTGTCGCTGCTCCACTTAAGGACTCCTAGCTTCCTTGCAGCTGCTTTGGTCTTGCACTCAATGAACCGCCTGAAGTTCAGACTTGAGGATATCTCAACTCCAACAACTGGAGGCGGTCGGTGTATTCCAGTGATACATTTCGGAAAGAAGGATCTAAGGTGTGCTGGATTCTTTTTGCAGTGAAGAGACACGCTTGTATTTTCGAGGCGTTGAATTTTACCAGCTTGGCATCGCCCCATTCAGAGACTGCCTGTAGTGTGAGATTCACACGCTCTACCATAGCTTCACTTTCGGACTGGATTTGATCCCGACTGACCCGAGGGCTTGGTTGATATCTTTCCACAACTGAGTAGAGTATACCGGGCATAAGCAAATAATTAATATGCAGCAGGGAGAGAGTCGCGAAGAGAACGGAACCCTGAGGAACACCGGCGTTAGTCGCCACAGCATCGGAAGAGCAGCTTTTTACGACGGCCCGGAGAGACCGTTCACTCAGGAATTCCTATACCCAGTCAATCAGATCAGTGGATAACCCGTACGCTGGAAGCTTATTCAAAAGGCTAGCGTGCCAAACTCTGTTAAAGATCTTCGAGAAATCAAGGGAAACAGCAAGTTTCTTCACTCTTCTCTAGTGCCTCGCCCTATACGTGTGTGGCATACGCTCTGTCTTCTAAGGTCCCCAGCTGACCAGTTTCGGCGAAACCCGTATTGCCGGTGACTAAGGAGGTCATTCTGTTTTAGGTGTGCCATTAAGCGGGCGTTCATTATATATACACTACATAATCTTGCAGAGTATGGAAGTAATTGAGATTGGTCGATAATTGGCAGGGTCGGCACGGCTGCCTTTTTTTGGAACAGGCTGCACATTGGTCAGCTTCCAGGATTTTAAACAGAAATTTGAACAAGTCCTGTCATCAGTCGTTTGCCAGCATCTGATTTCATAAAATTTACTAAAAATGCCTTTGCAACACATTTGATCGACAGATTATAATTTTAATTCTTTTATTTCAGTATACTTTCGTATTTTCTGATTTACTAGTTAGCGACAATCGGCATCGATATACTCGTTTATTTATTGTTTACTGCTTCATAAAATGCCTTAAATATAAATAAAATAGGACTAGCCTTATCATTCGAGCGATAAATCCAGCGGTATGATGATTATATTGCAAATATCTGTTTTGCAAACTATATAAATTAATATTTAATCATACGGTATCTATATAATCGAGTTTGATGCCTTTTGTAATCCTAATTTTATATGCTGATTTACCACTAGCACTGGGGAAAAAAATCCATCAAGAAAAGGTCCTTACATATAAAACCGGCGTTTTGTACGGGGGGAATATAAAGTCAATTTTTTTTTGTCAAATATATTTAATTAATCAAAGTATGTCCGTTGTTATTTATGTACTTTAGCCATCTCATAAATAGTTCATTGATTACTTTACTAAAAATCCATGGTGGCGAGAATCAATAAACTCTCTGAAGGTGGTTTGGACTGGCATCGGAGTTGAATTTCTTTCCTTGTAAGAAGTTGTCCAAATTCCGGGAAAAATGGTAATATGTTGGGGCAATGTCCAGGGAGTATGGTGGATGTCGCAGATATTCCAATTGTAGCTCATCTAACTTAGTGGCTGTTTATTGTGCAGCGTGTGGTCTTGCGTTGTCGTGAGGCAGCAGTGGTCTAGAGCGATTGACCAATCTCAGTTGTTTAGCAGCTAGTTCTTTCTTCATGGTTTGCAGTTGCTGACAATAAATATCTGCCGTAATCGTTTGGCCAGATTTTAGAAAGCTGTAGTGAACGACACCAGCGCTAGTCCACCAAACCCTCAAACACCAAACACTCGTTCGACGCCAAAGAAAAAAATAATGAGGAAAAAACAAATGAATGACTGTTTTCAAAACTCAAATGTACCAGCTAAATGAATTTATAAATTTTAATTTTCATAACCAAAGAGGAGATATTTCAGATCAAAGTGGTCAGTACGACAAAACGCTAATTTCATATGTAAGGACCCAATATTTATCTGCTTGAATGAAAATATTTTGAAATTACAAAGTAAAGGCAGGTAATATATATATATATATATATATATATATATATATATATATATATATTGCGGTGTAGCGGCGGAGTAACAGAATCCATTACTTCCTACCAAAGAATAAATAATTATATTATTACTTAAAAGCTCTAAGACTCCATACCACCCCGTGAGTATAGTAAAGAGTCACAGAGAGAGGCAACAGGAAATCAAAATAAACGGCTTAATTTAAATATATATACTTAGTGATCTTTTCAAAAAAATATATTAACATTCAAAAAATCATTATCATCATCATTACCCCCGAACATGCCCCCCAAGTACGCCACAAAACGGTCCTACCCATCATCGACTTCCTCATGTCTACTAGTCGTCACTCCAAGATCCAAAAAGTATTAACGTAATATAATAAGTCTATATTGACTTACCACAATGTTGTCTTGGCCTTTTCTTTTCTATTTTTAGGAAATCTGCGTAAAGTTTTTTTTTTATAGGATGGGGTGACAAACGAGCACACAGTCCACCTGATGGTAAATGGTTGCTGTGGCCCATAGACATCTACATCTATCTTCGATTACGAATCAAAATGCAGATGCGTTGTCAGCCGTGAGGACTAAGATGGAATGCCTCGCTTCCAGTAAAAAAGGGTCTCCGGTTCTCTACACTCACCATACGAAGCACTGCAGCATTAACCCGTACTACTATTTGAGACGCCGGTATTCTGTGAGAGCGTGGGCCTTCCCCGGTCGAGCCGACCAATTCGTGCTGCAACTATACTACTAATATAAGTGCAGCATGGCTCTACCACGTATAAAATTGTGAGCTCACACCACGCATAAAAAGTGATAAAATAAGATGAATTTGAGCTTTTTTTTTGCGCAACACTTAAGATATTTTAAATTCTGTCACACAACGTGCATTTTAAAGCTTTAAAATAATTAATTACTAAATAAAGTCAATATCTCATATACAGTCTACAACTAGAAATTCATACAAACGAAAATAATGAAGTATATTCAACCGATAATCACTGCAGCTACAGCTGAAAGCAATAATCATAATATATATAAATTACGTGTCACGTTGTTTGTCCGCGATGGACTCCTAAATTACTTAACCGATTTTAATCAAATTTGCACACCGTGTTCAGTCTGGTCCAACTTGAGGGATAGGATAATTTTTTGCCCATGAGTGACCACTTTTTTTTTTGTGAATTTAAGGATTTTTAATAGGACATGACAAAAGGTCGTCGAAAAGGGCAGAACAACGTCTGCCTGACAAGCTAGTAAATTATAAAATGTAAAACTATAAAATAAATTAATTCAGAAAATAATTTAAACATGAAAGAAGTTGACAAACAAATATTATTTTCTTTTTATTTATGTCTTCTAGAGAGAATACTGCCAATAATTAATAATTTAATTTATATCAATTATAATATGAGAATTAAATCTGGTAATTTACCACGAAAGGTAAAATACAGATTTAACATTTATGGTTAGTCCTGATATATATTAAATCTAAAACAGTCGCCCAATTCACAATTAGGCAAAATTACAATTATGTGCAAATTTCTCATACGTACATACGCCTAATTACAAGTTTCTCATCTTTAATACAAAGACAGATTACGCTGTTTGTAAGTGAGCAGACAAAAGGCTATATATACCTCGCCAAAATTTTCAATAGCAGAATACGCGTTAGTTCTTCTGGTAGGTCGTGTCGGTGGCTGTGTTTTTAACTAGTTATTTTTAATTTTTATAATGTTTCTATGGTTGGCGTGTTGTGCTCTTGTTCTGTGGATAGCATTATTTTGGTTTAACAGAAGACGAATGTACCGATTAGCGTCGGCGATTCCGGGACCGGATGAAGAGTTACCCATGATGGGGATAGCGCATACTCTGACTGGAAGCACTGAAGGTGTGTATGTACTACAGTAATAAAAACTGTTTATTTACTGCATGTGCAAGTTATATATATATATATATATATATATATATATATATATATCTGCGCTGCAGAAAATACTCCTGAAAGATTAAATATTTACAGAATAGGTCGTGATCACTAACTACTATTTGTTTAACTAAAAAAGTGCGTCGGTATATATTATACCGGGCATGATATGAAAATGTGAGACAGGCCTGCATCGATACATAACAAAGAATTAAAAAGTTATTCTTTGCAAATGCAAAAGAAAAATTAAAGTAAGCTGCTAAAACAAATTGTATAGAATAGTTACAGATTTAGAATGTGAAACTATGTTATATTCTTTTTATTTGTTTAAAGTCAGCTTCTACTTATTTAAAAAAAAATATTTTTACACTTTTTAGTAAGCCAAGGAATGTTGCAGTCTCAATGTCGTCTAAATAGTTCCACTGAGAAAGCCGTAAAATAGCTCAGATGGTTAGCGCTCGCTGTAAATTAAACAGTATGCGAGTAAACCGGATTGAATCCTCGCCGGCACCGATGAAATTTTTAATTGCAAATTTTAGTCCTGATTTACCACTTGCTTCTTGGTGAAGGAAAATATCGTGAGAAATCTTGCATTTCTAAGAAATAATAAAAGTACTTAAAGGACATGTAAAGTTCGCCAGCAACTTCGGGTCAGAGCGGTGGACACTTCCTTGCTTCAAAACTCTCTCAGAAATGAGAGAGGGCCTGTACCCAGCAGTGGAATGTACATAAGCTGTAACTTTAGGGGTTAGTTTTCCAAACTTTTATGGAAACAACCCTGAAGAACCTATTTAATAAAAAATATCTTCTTCACTGACATCGCGTTACATATAAAAAACTTAAAGTAAAATTAACAACATCAGTTCGACTGTATGTGTTATTTGCTACGGCATGTTAGAGCTTAACAACATAATAAATATATTGTCCTTATCACCTAACTTCGGTCACAGCTGCGCAGGTAAAGCTCATTCTAGGATTGACAAAACAGGTTATTTTTTAATGATGTCATGTCAGTCTATATCGTACCTACTTTTTTATATTATGAATCACAAGTTTCGGAAAGAGATTTCTAGAATGTTATTCTAATTTGCAGTATCAATTAGTTTATATAGTGTATACTATGCTACTCACATTGGGCTTTATGTATGGCATTAAGTAACTTTAACCAAGATATTCAGCTTAAAGTTGTGATATGTGTGTTACAGATATACATCGATGTTTTAGCACCCTCAGATTTGGCTAGTCAAACCTCAGATCTGGAAAGAAGTCCTAGTCAAATTCCCTACTAAAATAGCGTGTTTTGATCTTTGACTAAAGATTTGAAAGATTGATGAGAAATCAGAAGAAATATTTGGTGACCCTTAAATAGGTGTTAAAACGGTAGTGGACAGCACTGATGCACGCCCTGTCGTCCGATCCCAAGAATTTAATCGTAGGGCTACCTAACCACTCAGCTTATCCCCAATTGCAATCTCTCACCCCTTTACTTATAATTTTTAGGGAATTATGTAACAGGCATGCTAGCATACGCTCACCCCCCCCCACACACACACACACACACACACACACACACACACACATAACACACACACACACACACACACATTCATACACATTCACCCACAAGTACACGCGCGCCCCTTTTAATTAGAATTTGTTTGTTATGTCTGTAATTTTTCATAAATTTTTAAGTCATTTTTGCTTTGCTGCGCATAATTGTTTTACGTAATTTTGACAAATAGCCACTTTGATCAATTGTAAAATCTTTTGCTTGACCCCCACGAGACAGGCCATGCATAGTGTGGGAGTCACAGAACTTATTGTATTTTGGCTACGTGTTTTCTGGTAAATAAATAAACTTATTATTATATTATTATTATTAATTTATTTACAATCCTAGACGAGACAAACTTGGACAGTCAGAAATTAAACGGAATGTTTTATATTTTAAATATTGGTTTAATTTGAGTTTTGATTAACTAAACTGATGCGATCTTGTGTATTAATTGTCTACGCCTGTAATTTTTTTTTTATAGAATTGGGGTGACAAATGAACACATAGTCCACCTAATGGTAAGTGGATGCTGTGGCTCATAGATATCTACATTTATCTTCGATTAAGAATCAAAATGCAAACGAGTTGTCACTCCTGAGGACTACGATAAAATACCTCGTTTCCCGTAAAAAAGTCTTCGGTTCTCTACACGCATCATACGAAATTAGCAGCATCAAGTTGCTGTTTTACGTTGGTGTTCTGCGAGAGCGTGGTTCTTTCCCGGTCGAGCCGACCCATTCGCGCTATAACCATAATATAGCTGCAGCGTGGCACTACCACGTAAAAATACTATCAGTGGAAACGTCGATGTTGCAATAAGCCTCAAGTTTTTTGTCTGCTTAGGCGCCTTAAGAATTTGAAGTCCCTTGGGTTTAGCTGTCAGAACTGTGAGAACTTCGCAATATTAATGACGCATCGGCATATTGTGAAGAAGTTTTTAAACAAAATAATATAAACATAATTTGTTATTATTTGACACTGGCAAAAGTATAATTGTAGGAGCCCATAAATAGTCGGGGTTTAACCAGTCAGGCCTAAATAAGGTAAAACAATATGTTAGTTTGTAAGATTTAGTATTAAAAATTTTATACGCGGTAGAGCCATGATGCAGTTATATTAATAGTATAGTTGTAGCACGAATGGGTCGGCTCGACCGAGGAAGGACCACGCTCTCACAGAATACCAGCGTGAAATAGTAGCTTAATGCTGCTGTATTTCGTATGGTGAGTGTAGAGAACCGAAGACTCTTTTTACTGGAAACGAGGCATTCCATCCAAGTCCTCACGGGTGACACTGCATGCTCGTTTGTCACCCTATCTTATATAAAAAAGATATTTCTTAATTTTAATGTTTATTAGACTCTTTATTTTGGCTAGTTGATGCGTTGTGACATTTTAAGTAGCGCAATATGTATGATCTTTTTCTTTTACACAATTTTGAATAGTATTTTATGAAATCTTGGCCCCCAAACTTAGAATCTTTTACTTAACTCCCTTAGAGACAGTTGTACGTCAAGTACATCTTCGAAATTAAGTAATTTCTCATTGTATTCTTCTAACTGGTTCCTAGAAAAAAAAGTTTGCTTTTTATTTCTGGTTTTGTGTTTAATCTGTAAAAACAATCAACTGTTTTATTCTGTACTACCTATCGATCCGCCTCGGCATCTCATTGGCGATTTTTGGATCTAGATAACCGCGCCACCTTTAGGGTCTAATTGAGAATTTATTACATCTAGGGCCCCGCGTAAACACACAAAAAAATTCATGTAAATCAGTTCAGCCTCTCAAAGTCTCAAGTGAAGATCTTTCATACATGCGACAATTGATTTTTCTTTATATATGTTTTGTCTAAAACATTTCGAGCATCTCCTCAGGCTCCGTCAAATCTGGAAATAGGTAGGAGAGAAAGAACTGTTTATTTTACATTTTACACATATTCCAAAAAAAAAATATACAAAAGCAAGGATTAAAATACGCATGCAGTACATGAATATCATAAATTAATAATAAAACAAAAATATATTTTAATAAAAATCAAAATTAAAATGTGGCATCAAATAGGTCTTCCCAACTCAGCATAATGCTGCAAAAGCAGCACTAGTTTTCAGTTGGAGCCTTGTGACTTCACTGGCAAGTCGGTGCGTGATCCTCAAATTGCGAGTTCCATAGTTATTAATAATTAGAAAGTAGTATCAACGTACGTAGGCACATTTTATACACTGAGGCTAGCCTAGTTAACAGATGTATAAATGTTATATAGGTACTATATATTATAAAATAGCTACATATACACATAAAATATTAACGTACTGTTTGTCTCTAAGGGGAAGACATCTTTTACTTTTTTCATTAAAAATGTTAAACGCAGGTAGTCTAAGTCGAATTTAAGAATTACGTAGATAATTTATATTCTGTTCTCAAAGCGGCACGTCCTTAATATACAAGATGTTCGAAAGGTCGATGCAAAGCTGTGATGGAAGGGCTGATCATCTCGTGGGGCACATTTTTGAGCAGGTTACCCTAAACTATTGTCTTAGAATTGCTAGTTAACAAAAACAAATCACAAAATTTAGTATTTAATATTTCTTAACGATTAAACCAGCTACAATCACTACATAGAAACTTGTTCAATCACTACATAAAAACGCGCACGCACACGCGCACGCGCACGCGTGCGTACGTTCGCGTACGCGTGTGCGTGCGCGTGCGTGTGCGTGCGTGCGTGCGTGCGTGTGTGTGTGTGTGTGTGTGTGTGTGTGTGTGTGTGTGTGTGTGTGTGTGTGTGTGTGTGTGTGTGTGTGTGTGTGTGTGTGTGTGTGTGTCTGTATTCATGTATGTAAACGTCTTATAACTTTTGAACGGATTGACCGATTGAAATGGACTAAACGGATTTCCAAAGTTTTTCTATATATAAAACTTAAATTTTCTATAAATTTTAACTAATTCGGACTGGTAGATTTTAAAAAATCTCAAAAATAAAATTTTGAAAAATTTTTTTATTGGAATACCTTTTAAACGGCTCCAAATTCGAAAATTCGATCGATTCCAAAAACAAAACAGAACCACGTCGATCCCGGCGGTCCGGTCAAAATCGGTTGATTCGTTCGTGAGCATGAGATATCGTTAACGAAAAAATTTTGAAAACATTGATATTTTTAAATTACTCCGATATTTTATATTCAACTTCATAATTTGGTGAAATTTGGAGCGCTTAGTACTTACTTTGTCTTAAATAATTTAATAAATATAACCTAGAAATAGTCGCCGTAAAACACGTTGAAGAGTGATTTTGAAAATAAAAAAATTGTGAGTTGAGAGTGATTTTGATAATAAAATAATTATTATAAAAAGAATTATGGTGAAAGTCTGTGCAATAAAAAATCATAAAAAGTTCTTTAAAATTTACACTG